ATATTTCTGCCTCGGCAGTGCAGAAGAGTGGTGTTTACAACTCACTGAATGATTGCATTTACACTATGAAACAATGTTGCTTTCGTCTTCCAGATTTTCCTGGTAGGTGAATTTTTAGTCTGTTTATTTTAGCAACTGCCATCTCATTTATGTTGACTTTTTGTATTTGATTATGAAACTTATTTTGCTTGTTTTATTCGTGCTTCAGCCACAGCAGGCCTCGATAAAAGTCCCAAACTGCCTTAAGTTACTTCCACACATTCGCCACACCTGCACTTAGAGGATCTGTAATGGAAATTGTGCTAATGCTGCAAAGAAGACATGTCGTCCCGTTTAACTCTCTAAATCCTAAATACAAAGGTGTTTGAAGTAGGGGTGCAAAGGGTGGTGCGGGATCTAGGATTTTGAGCAGGTACTGGATGTAGTTCATGCTCCACCTGAATGTGTGATGCTAGTGACAAGCTGTATTACCCACTAGTATAATTAAGTTACGACCTGCAGGGTTTAAACAGAACCAAGTGTGTTTTCTCTTTGTGCATGGACAGGATATAATTTACCAATGGACAGGTCTTTGGGACACCACCAAGCCAACCTAGGTGTATTTCAAATGCATTAGCTGATTAGCTACTTGTTGCCATGAAGCATCCCATACTGGTTTAACTGATCCTGCAGGATCAGTTAAACCTTCAGGTCTCCTGAACAACCCCAAGCACTCAAGATACCGGCGCAATGTTGACATACATTAAATCTACCCACAATAAATAAACTTAACATTTAATAGGCCTATTTCATACCTAAGAGGAAATAAAAGCATGTCAAATCCTGCAGCGCAAGCATAGGTCAGCAGTGACTCTCTAACTTTTCTCATATGAGATCAGGATTTTGTAATTATGACATTTTATCTTGTGACTAAAATTTTATGTTGAAAACTCATTGCAGTCTTTTCATCAGCTGGTAGTTGTTTTTATTGCAATAAATTTTAAGAAAATATCCGTTTTATATATTCAAGTTATAATTACAACATCTTAATAAACTGTTCAGGAAACCATGCGGTGCACTAGACGATGGATAAAAGTTTGGTCATGCACCATCCATTGTCAAGGAAGAGCTTTCAATACGCTTTCACTTTTACACTAAGCTGATTGCAGATTAGATATAATCTGCTGCTTGTTGGTGTATTTCTTTCCTTCCTGTAGGAAGTCCTTACTGACAGAAACAGATGATAAATGCTGCTGAAACACACCTGCCTGTGACAGAAACCCCTCCCACCTTCCTGAACTTCCACCTAAAATTCCACACCAACATCAACGCGTACGTTCCATCCTAATTTGAAGACATGGAGGAAGAGCAAAATAGAAACAGCAACCTGTACATTTGGCTTTGACTTAATGTCCATGCTAATCAACTCACAACACAAAGAATGACTGTCACTGCTACACTGGTGAGGACCATTTTTACTGCAATCATGGCTAAAGCTAGAATTGTTAACCTGAGTGAGGTTTTTTAGAGTAAGTGAAGAAAATATGGTAGCAATATATAATACAGCCCAAAGGTTCTTGTGTAGTGCTTATCTGGTACATGTGCAGTAGGTAAGAGCAGGTACAATAAGTACCAGATACATACTAAGCTGTATTATACTGTATATATATTGCAGCTAAACATGTGAACCTAAAAGGTAAACAAATATAAAGCAAAACATCCAGTTAAAATGGATTAAAGAATGGCATTTTACATTAAAGTCTTAATAGTTTTACCTGAATCCCAATAAGCCAAAATGTTCAATCCTTGAACCATTTTAAAAAATACTTCAAATAAATATTTAAATCTTGCTAGAAATGGTCCATTTATTTTACTTAAAAGCTGCAGGCCTAACCTGTTGATGCTCGAGTTGACTTTTCTTGGTCTTTTAACAACGTCTAACAACCATTGAACAATTGATAATTGAATTAACACTAAAGACACCTATGATAATCATTAAATAACAAAATAATCATCAAAGAATCAACCTTAGGACGCCACTTGGTGGCACACTTGAGTAGCATATTTTAAATAGAACTAAAAAATTATGTGAGTTCACAAACAATCCGAATTTTTTGAATGGCTCTTTAAAATGACTGACGGGAACCGAGTCATAGATTGCTGAAAGACTTTCTTTTTTTTTCCTTGTGTTTTTCCCCTCAGATGTAGGCACACAGAATAGGCAAAGCAAACAAACGCTGTTTGTTGGTCGTCACTACGTACAGTTTGACTAACCATATAACGATGAAAAGCTCTTTAAAAAGAACTGGCTCTAAAAGATCTGTCTCCTCTCAAAGAGCTGTAAATCCCATCTCTAGTAAAAACAACCATTCAGGAGAGCATGAAACACCTGGAACTTCACGTACTCTGGAGTGCTTATAAGGTAAGTGTAACTCTGACTTTAACTTGAGTTCAAGAATTAGTTTGTCAGCACTGCCCCTTTAGAAAATTATAAGAAATGTCAAATGAGCAGAAATTTTGTGACGTAAATTTAAAACTGCAACCAGTTAATCAGTTTTGTACCTGTGCTTGTTTGATTTGTCTCCTCTAGGTTAGTCCACCAGCATTTGTATGTTAGCAGCACCACGGGCAGTTAGAGCTGCCGTCTCTCGGGAGAAGGTCGCAGAATTATCTCCAGGCCTGGGGGGCTTTTCTGGGTGGAGTTTGTGTGTTCTCTCCATGCATGGGTGGGTTTTCTCCACATGCTCCGGTTTCCTCCCACAGATCAAAAGCATGCATGTTAGATCCATTAGTATATCTAAATTGTCCCTATGTCTTTGTGATGGACTGCTTGAAATGGGCACCCTGTGACCCCTCATAATGGAAAAGACAGGTGATGGATGGATGGATGGATGGATGGATGGATGGATGGATGGATGGATGGATGGATGGATGGATGGATGGATGGATGGATGGATGGATGGATGGATGTTATAACAGGACACTGTTTTTCCAAGAAAACTTCATTTTTGCATAAAGTTTTACTTTTATTCGTGTATCAGTATACTTCAGTTAGCTTGTAGCTAACATACAGTAGCTACTGTCATAATCAGAAAATACTTTTTTGATTTGTCTCGTGTTTCACTGTATATGTTCTCTGTTATCGAACACAAATAAATTAGTATCTCACAAACGTTCACAAGTCTGTGTAATGCCACACACAGTACTTCTGCTAAGCATCTAGTTTGCACAAAAAAGCTCAAGTGACAAGAGGAAGTTTGTTCTTTAAATGCTGCAACTCAGTGAACAAAGCAGAGTCTGTTTTACAACAGTAAAACAGGGAAGCAAAGCATATGATCTCAAAGTACATCCCTATAGAGAGTGGTATAAATAAACTATGTGAGAAGACTCCCCTTTTTATGTGTCCCTTTCTTTCTCACACACACACTGTCACATCTGCAGCTGCTTTTCTTCTCTCCTTCAAACACTCAATATTCAGCTCGTATCCGGGTTGACGGCTCTATAACCCTCAAACTCCAGCCACATGAATGAAGGAAACAGGGACAGGGAATCCCCATGTCACTCATTCTGAAACTCACCCATACTTCACACCACCATGCAGAGCTAATGCACTGCTTTAGTGTGCTCATGGGTCTGGTTAGCAGTAGTGAGAGAGAAAAAAAGAGTGGTGTGGGGAAAAAAAGGAAATAGGCTACAAAAAGTAAAAGATAAAGTAAATCAGCAAAACCAATTGTTTTTATATAAGTTCTGAGTAAAAGAAGGTTTTCTTAAAAACTGAACATAAGAGGAAAGGTTGTGTTGAGAGCAAATCTTTTTCAGTGTTGTGATCAGTTCAAACACCTCAGGAATTAAAGGCCTGCATATCATCTGCTGCATTTCCTTTTTAAATAAATGAACTATGACCTTTTTATGATCTGATAAATCTCACATGCAGGCTCCTCATTTGCTTTCTCACTGAGATGAAGAAGAACAAACAAATGGGGAGGAGTGCAGTAGTTGTGTACATGAAAATAATGCTCAGGTGTGTGTGTGTGTGTTGGGGGGTGATTGACAGGTGACGTGGGATGTTATGTGTCACATCCTATAGATGTATGCTGTACTTCATCACTGCACAGCTCTTCAAAATGAACTAAGATCCAGCTCCCTTGTACAAACTGCAAATTTCATATTTCTTTCTGTAATGCGAAGAAACTAAGTAAAGTAGTTCAAAAAGGATGGATTTATTCAGAAAACACAAACTGAATCATTTATCATCATTCAGACGCTACGGTCTGTGTGAAGAATGTTGAGTTAACTCTTAAAAAGAGCAATCTAAAACAAAAATGACATTTTTCATCGGATTCATCATTTCGTTAAGAACGACTTGCTCGTTTCCGACGGCCTATGAACGCAGCACGCTGGATCAAACTGTGGAGGCGCTGCGAGACCTTTCCAGGAGGTGACGCTCTTTGATCATATTGCGCGCGTTGATTGGAGAATGAAAGTGAATTTTACAAAATGAATCATTGGAGTGCACTCGAGTCATATGGAGGTTATTTTCAGATTATGTGAAGCGGATTATGTGGCGATATCACACAGAGATCTGAGATCAACTAAGTCAAAGAAACCCCTTTTGAGTCAAGTCATTCAATAAGCTTAAAAAAATAGAAAAGGAAGAGGAAGACCGGGTTACTATCTCTGTATGACACCGCACACTTCCTTTTCACTTTGTACAAACCGCCCATTACGCATGAGCAACTGCAACACGGCCTCCAAACCTCTGAACTAGCTTTTTTTTTAAGACACGTCATCATCTCTGTTGTTTCAAGTTGTAAGATAAATTTTTTTTAAAAAAAAAACTGCAGAAAAAACAATGCAAAACTACAAACATTCAGTCTCAGTGATTGCACTTCCATCAAAGTCACAAGCTGTTTCCTCCTCCTGACTTTGAAGGGACCTTACAGCTGTGAAGTGGAGAACTTGGCTGACAATTACGATGCTCTTAATTTGAAAAAATAAAATAAAAATAAATCAAAACTTACCCCCAAATCACTGGCGGTCAGGCGCAACTTTTGCACATTTACTTTTTTTTTTATTTTAATTTAGTCATCATTTGCGAGCCGCTCACTTGCACCATCAGAGACATTTTCTTTCACTTTCAAATTTATGCATCACTAAGGAAAAATATATATAAATATCACCCTGAGCGCGCTTTCTGTCATCCTCTCTACTTTTTCTCTGACTTTCCTTAAATGCAGCACCAGGCTGGTCCTCCACAGCTCCACCATTCATACTGAGCTGTCTGCTAGACCTGCACAGTAATACTTTTTCGTATTTCTGCGGGCACACCCACCAGATCAGACCTCCCCTTTCTGCAGAATGAGGAAGCTTGGTTATGAATGGAATCCTGTGCTTGGAGAGGAACCAGATCCCACGCGCAGAAACATGCTGACATACTGGACTTTTGGGGGAAACTGTAAAGCCCACGTAAAGGTTTTACTGATGACGTTCAAGAATAACGAAGGTGACGGTGGAGCCTAAACAGAGTTTTGTAACTTGGATCAGTGTTTCACTCTAACAAGAAAATCAATTTGTGAAAGAAATGAGAAATAACTTTATTGATTTGCAGCTACTGGTGTCCAAAGAAAGTTTTTAACTCACTTTAGCAGTTAAGACTCGGCTTGATGCAGAGCTTAAACCCATAGAGGGAGTGGCAAGGGACTGAAATTTGTATTCATTCAAATTTTCAGGATATGGTTTGCCTGTTTCTTAAAGCTACAAAGATGCAAAGGAATATTCAAATATTCCTCTACACAAAGTGCTTTTATTCATTCTCTCAATCTCCAAATCTCATTTTAAAAGACATTATGTTACTTTTGACTCTGAGTGAGTTGGTTTTAAAAGCTCCATGTATTATATATATACAGTAGCACTGTTATATATATACAGTAGCATTGTTCTTTTCGGCACGGTGGCTCAGTTGGTAGAGCTGATGCCTCTCAGCAAGAAGGTCACCGGTTCAAATCCCGGTCTGGGGACCTTTCTGGGAAGAGTTTGCATGTTCTCTCCGTGCATATGTGGGTTCTCTCCGTGCACTTCAGCTTCCTCCCACAGACCAAAAACATGACTGTTAGGTTAATTGATAACTCTAAATTGTCCCTAGGTGTGAGTGAGAGAGTGAATGCTTGTTTGTCTCGTTTGTCTCTATGTGTGGCCCTGTGATGGACTTGCGACCTGTCCAGGGTGTACCCCGCCCCTCGCACTGTGACTGCTGGATATGGACACCAGTGACCCACGCAACCCTGAAAAGGAAGAAGCGTGTACAGAAAATGGATGGATGGATGGATGTTCTTTTCATTCAGTGATTTTTTTACCAAGACAGCGTAGTTTAAAAATTCATCATAGACCAAAGAATTTGCTTTTAAATGCATGTTTAGATGAACTTTATGCTGTAATGAGACAATGTGATTACAAGTACTGATAGTAGAGCTAAACCCAAATTATTAATGTTTTATATGCATTTACGCTTGACTTTATTAATTGTGGATATGTGTAAATACATATCCCAACACATTTTAAGTCTGAAGGCACAAGATATGAAACGTATCACTGTGGTAACGGGGGTAGTCATCTGAAGACTTGACCGTCTCGTTTCACAGCTGTTTTGTGCAGCCTACCTGGACTGGGTAGAGTGTGGCCTATATGAGCTGCTGTCTAGGTAGGCTGCAGCTCCTGCATCAAAATGAGTCAATACTCAAAATAAAATATGTGTAATATGCCCTCATATTAATACAAACTTATACAGCATACCTCAAGATAAGAAAGCAAAAACAATGTTGCTTTTTCAGCTTCTCCCTTTAGTAGTGAAACAAGTAAACTCATGCAAAAAGCATGGCGATAGTTTTATCAGATGCCCTGCCTGACACAACCTGAGCTCAAACCCTCAATCTCTCAGTTATGAGACAATGGTGCTGATCACTGAGCTACCACGGTCCCTTCATGTAAAGCCTCAAAGTTCTTGTAAAGACACAAGAAATGGAGAAAACGGCATTACACGCATTACTTTCAACCATCGAACAAATTCAGAAGCGTTTTCATGCTACTGGTTTTCACATTGGCCAAAGAATGACACCATGTTATTAAAACACTTTGGTCTCTTACTGGATGGGTTGAGGCAATAATGCTGCTTGGTTCAAAATAGACTGAGGTCAGGGTTTTGGTCCGATCTTCTGACAACATATCTGTCACATTAGTATTTACAGTTATTTCTACGTGTCAGCAGTGGTGTCCTCCAGTGAGATTTTTTTTTCTTTCCTTGTTGCATTTGGACCATAAAAGTACTAAAAATGGATTAGAAAACAAATTACATTTAATGGTCAAAATACATAAATATGCTAGCATAAAATTTAAACCCATTATTCCAGTTTTGTGCTTGCAGTTGTTCACAGAACCACCAGATATCGCATATTCTCTTCAATGTCAATACCAATCTTATTTCTGGGGGAAAACATCTTCTTGAGGACTTTACAGTTGATTTGATTTTTGGTTTTACAAATGACAATAATGGGGCGGGGGTTGGCGGCTTTGTATTATGTTATAATGTCATTCCCTCGTCAAAAAAAAAACAAATCCAGTGTTGCTTTGTTTCATTCATGCGTGTTTGAGAAATCCTCAAATCTCCTGTGGTAGCCATGGAGCTGCCTAAATGCTTGATGGTACAAAGCACCACCTATTGTACCCATCTTCTCCCTGGAGTTCATTCAAGCTCAAAACCAGTAGACTGAGCTCCAGATGTGGCCCCGCCCCACAAAGCACACCTCCCCTGAAGCATTGTAGTGAAGACATGCTGAAGTGGGAGTGTCAGAAATAGTAGGAGTTTCTTAAAGAGACACAAGCCAATTTCAAGACAATTAGGTATGCTATGATGCAAAGCCAAATTTATTTTTTGATATGTACAGCTTTTTTCATAACAATTGAAGGTAACACTTTATTGTGGTATAGAATTGAACTACTGTATGTGTCCAGAGAAAACATAATCCACCCTCCCCCACAAAAAAATTCAAACCATAGTTCACTTGGCTTGTGCTCCAGCGTTTGTTAGTTATAGTACTGAGGTCTTGCGTACACTTAATATATCTTATTAGTCCTAAATAGCTTGCAATTTGAAAATACTTTCAGTGAAACACTTGCTGTTAGAGAGGATGTAATCATAAAACACCCATACAAACATTGACGAAGAATTAAACTAAAGAAAATATCTAAAACTTTTTTGTAGTTCTTCTAATTGTCACAGGAAATCCCATTTCTTTTTTGTGTGTCTGCAGCGCAGGAACTGCTATCAATCAAGGTCAATAAGTTTCTGCTTATAGAGACTTTTTTTCTATGCAGGAGTAGGTACTGCCCCAGCATGAGGGGAACCATCTGTGACGTCACTGCGTGGAGATTGGTCCAGCTGTTATAGGCTCACAGTGATTAGTTGAATCTCAAAACATGATCTCTGTCTACAAAGCAATCTCTTAAAAATCAGTAAAATGAAGTCACTAGGCTTTTTTTAATCTTTTGAATTTTTGAATTTTTTTCTGAATTATGGCCCCAACAGTGCTCACTGGAACCTTCACATGATAAAAAAGGATTATGTGGTTTTAACTCATCACTGATAAAACTATTGTTGAACTGAGTCATTCAGGAGGATCATCATCTCCAGAAGAAACGAGGACAAATCTGGTATTTTCATAGTATTTGGGATGTTTCCATATAATTTATTAAAAGAATCAAAATTTTACTCAGCTATATGGCAACAAAAACTGATGGAGTCTCCTCTTTTGCTACCCAACATACAGTGGGTAAAATAAGTATCGAACACGTCAACATTTTTCTCAGTAAATATATTACTAGATGTGCTAATGACATGAAATTTTCACCAGATGTTGTTAACAACCCAAGTGATCCATACATACAAAGAAATCAAACCATAAATGTCCAGAAATGAAGT